CTTGACTGCTAACCAGAAGGCTGGCGGTTCAAACCCACCAGCCACTCCTCGGAAGGAAGGTTGGGCAATCCTACTTCCGTAGTGATACAGCCTCGGAAACACAAGGAGGGGTCGCTATGAGTCAGGGCCGACTCGACAGCACATAACAACAACAACAACATGTATTATTATGTTCTATTGCTGTTTGGAAAAATTTATACTTTATAATGTGAAATGTCTATTTTTCTATTTGGCATTAATGGTGCTAAACCCTGCCTTATCAATTAGGTATTAATAAGTATACATTGGAGAACTGTAATACGTGGGGTTTATGTAAAATGGAGGTAATCATGGGATGCTCTATTAGGAATTTTGGGGAGAAGAAATAAGATAATGTGTATTGAGACACCATATTATCTGTCATTAATGTAGTGGTTATAATGTAGTAAGTACTAAAAAATGGTAATTATTAGTATTATAAGTATGTTGTTGTTGTTGTTATGTGCCATCGAGTCGGACCCGACTCATAGCGACCCCTCCTTGGGTTTCCAAGGCTGTATCACTACGGAAGTAGATTGCCCTATCTTCCTTCCGAGGAGTGGCTGGTGGGTTTGAACTGCCAGCCTTCTGGTTAGCAGTTAAGTGCCTTAGGCACTATGCTACCAGAGCTCCCATTATAAGTAAGCCATCCACTTGTGGTATTTCTGTTATAGCAGCACCATATGACTAAGACAACCATATTCTCTTCTAGTATTTAATGGTTTCATTTATTAATTTAATAAGCTATAATAGCTTTTTTTCTGTCATAGTAGGAAACTTGCAGTCTAAATTCAGGGCACCAGCTTTAGGGGAAGGCTTCTCTGTCAGCTCTAGAGGAAGGTCCTTGTAACCTTTCAACATGTATAGCTCTGACATTCCTTGGCAATCTCCATGTGTCTTGGCATCAGTGGTCCCCTGAGTCTAGGAGGTTCTTAGTGCAGGGATGCTGGGCCCAAAGGATGAACTGTGTTCCCAGGTCTTCTTTCTTGGTGGTAGTCAGGTCCCTCCTTTGCTGCTTACTTCTCTCTCCATTTATCTCTGTAAGAGAAAAGGTGATGTAGCCTACACCCCAGGGAAATTCTCCTTAACGAGATCAAGACTGTGCATCCCACCTTAATTCTTACAACTAATTGGCTGATAACATCAGATCACATCATGAGAGATGATTAATTCATTATGTAACTACCCGATTACATCATTACATTAACTGCCAAACCACTGAGAATCATAGTGCAGCCAAGTTGACACACATTTTTGGTGGATACAATTCAGCCCATGACAATGAGTCAACTCTCATTAGATTTTATGAGAATGAAAAAGATCAGAAACCATAAAGAAAAAAATGGACATGTTTTTTCCAAAAAATGTCAAACATCATAAGCAAAGTTGAAAAACAAATTAGGGAAATTATTAGCAATATATGTGTCATTTAAAGGGTTGATCTCCATAATATGTAGAGAATCCTTAGAAGTTAGACAAATGTGACTATTCTAATAGAAAAATTGGCAAAGGTTATAATGTACAGGCAAAGAAAAAGAAATATAGTACACATGAAAAAAAATGCCTATGTTTATTTATGATTACAAAAATGTCAGTTAAATCAATGGTGATAAATTTAGAAATGGTTAAAAGGTACATGGGAAGGGGGCATTCTCAGATGCTGTTTGGAACTGTACATTGTTGGTACAGCCTCTCTGAGGGACAGTTTGGCAGTATTTAGCACTAACTGTAAAGTGGGCATACTGTTTGATTTGGCATTTCAAATTTTAGTAATCCTCTAAACATACTGATGTGAGGTGGCAGAAACATATATGCAGTATATTCAGTACAGAACCATTACTTAAAGGATCATCAGATTTTTTAAACAAATTAGAATACATTTAGACAATGAAATTCTGTGCAACTCTAAAAACAATGAGGTAGCACTGTACATATGTTGAGATGGAAATTAGCCATTAGTGAAAAGTACAGATTATACCACACAACCAATTTTTGTAAAACATAATATTAATTATAATGATATATGTGCATAGAAAAAATATATAATCATAAAAATCATTCTTTGAGCACAGTTTTCTATTCCTTTGGGCTAAAAAATGTTTTTAAATTAAGGGAGCATTCCATTTTTTCTTAGTATTTAATTCCTAGCTTTACTGAAATATGACATAAAATATCTTTCCATTTAATTTTTTACAGTTGTTGAAAAGCTCAGAGAAATGATGGAAGAAATTGAAAATGCAATTAACACTTTTAAAGAAGAGCAGAGGTTGATGTATGTTTTCAAGTCATTTTAATATACAATTATTGACCTATATTTTTTGATAACTTTGCACTAGGTTGTTGTATGCAAACCATTTTATTGTTGCATATTTAATATGAATCTACACAAAAGCAATATAATGCCTCTCTTCCTTTGTTTTAGGTGTTATACTGGTTTTCATGTTTGAAGTGAATTTTTATTTATATTTGGACACTAAAATCCCAAGTGAGAATTTGTTAAATTGTTGTTATTGTTTTCTTTTGAGGAAACTCTTTTAAGGCTTCAATTTATAAATCTCAATATTAAAGTACAGTGTGAGATTTGGTCTGTTGGCATTCTGAAACTAATAAAAATGAAATTGAAGCAAGAACACAGGTAGATAAGCATAAACATTGGGTTAAGTCAGTTGAGCAGTTTAGGCAGAGGAAACGGGAATTCGGCAGGAGAAAGAGAGCATAGGAAAGAAGGGGGATAAAATGGAGAAGATACATGAAAAAAAGTCAGGGATAATTAAATTTAAGGAAAAATGAATAATTAATAAAATCCAAACTTTATTTTTAAAAATTTAGATATGAAGAGCTTATTAAAGAAGAGAAAACAACTAATAATGAATTGAGTGCCATATCAAGAAAAATTGACTTATGGGCTTTAGGTAATTCAGAAACAGAGCGAGCTTTCAGAGTGATGGCAAGCAAAGTTCCTGTAGACAAAGTAACATCAAGTACTCTTCCCAAAGAAGTAGTAGATTTTGAAAAATTCCTTCAGCAAACAGGAGGGCGACAAGGAGGCTGGGATGATTATGATCACCAGAACTTTGTAAAAGTGAGAAACAAATACAAAGGGAAGCCAACATTTATGAAGGAAGTTCTAGAGCACCTTCCTGGAAGAACACAGGATGAGGTTCAACAGCATGAGAAATGGTATCAGAAATTTCTGGCTCTAGAAGAAAGAAAAAAAGAGGTAATTATAATGGCTATTATTTGTTCTACATTCCTGTGTTCTAGGCACTGTACTAAACTCATAATATGTACCATTAACTTTACAACAGTCCCCTGAGGTATCTTTATACTAAACATCCCCACACACACCATTTTATAGATGAAACAGGCATTATTGGGAAGTTAAGTAATTTACCCAAGTAGTGTAACTATATAGTTGGACTTCCTCAAGGCTAGACATTTTTACCCTAAGAAAATACAGTGAACCAGGAAATTTCTGGTTGTGGGCAAAACCCTCTGTGTTCACTTCCTCAAAATGTAGGTAGTTTAGATCTACTTAGACTTTTTTAAAAAATCATCTGACCAGCAAAGGCTACATTGTTTTGAATAGAAAATAAAGGGGTAGTAGGGAAAAAAAACCTCTGTTACAAACTTTTTGAATTTTGCAACTTTACCGTGTTGCTTATTTTAACTGAAAATTTTGGCTTTCATGGCACTGCTGGGTGAGTTCAAATTGCCCATGGTTAGGGTAGAAGTTGAGTATAAACTGTATGTGTCACTTAGGGCACTAGTGGGGATAGTAGAGTCCAGCAATCTGTGTTTAACAAGTCCTCCAGGTTATTGTTTCAAGGGAAAGTTTGAGAACCATTTCTCTAGAAAGAAGGAACAGACATAATGCTTTTTGTAGTAATATTCAGTTACCTCTGATTTTAGCTTACTTTTCTTGTTCCTAGCCTTTCATGATATTTGATGATTGGATATAGAAGAGGGCATAAAGGTGGAAGTGACGTTTACTGAAGTAGGGCATGTTGGAGGACAAGGAAGTTTAGGATTCACTTTTAAATCTGAGTTGGAGATGCTGAATAGGAAATTTATCATTTTGTCTCCCACATTCTTATCTAAACAAAGAAACCCATACAATTTACAGACATGCCTTGTACATTCTAGCCTGAGTACTCTTGCTCTCATTTTCTAGAACTGCCTTTCTTTCCACCTTCACTCCCAGCCTGTCAAATCTGTCCAGATCAGTATGCCACCTCCTTCTGTTCATCCAACTATAAGTGGTCTTCTTCCTTCCCTTCAGAATTTCACTAACACTTTGTTTATACCACTTTTAGGATATGCCATGACACATCCTATATTCTATTATTGATGCATGTATCTTAGCTCACCAAAGCACTGCACTCAGAATGTGGTGCATGGGCCAGATATTGTTATTGGTACATAATGATACAAGGTGAATGCATCAAAATCAACCACCCAGTAAGCATGCTGTTTAGCTGAATTGACATTTCTTTGTAGAAAACTTTCTCAATGAAGGTATACATTGTGGAATGAGTTCTTTTTATTGCTGTGGTTAGGTACTCTGAGTAGCACTTTACCAGATGGCATTTGGTATTGTTTTAATCATCATATCACATTAATTCCTATTATATTGCATTAGGTATAGTACACATGCCATAAGGATTTCTTTAATGAATAAATGAGTGAATAAATGAATGAACATTGCACCATGAGTAAAGATCAGGAAAATGATGTTCCTGACTTGGGGAAAAGTAAATCAGTGGATATGTCCTTTAGGAGATAGAGAAGGCAGCTGGAATTTTAAAAATCTCAATATAATCCTACTGAGCTATTTTCTATCACCCATCTGTCAGTTTGTCATACTGTGGTGGCTTGTGTGTTGCTATAATGCTGGAAACTATGTCACCAGTATTACAAATACCAGCAGGGTCAACCATGGTGGACAGGTTTCAGCAGAGCTTCTAGACTAAGACAAATGAGGAAGAAAGGCCTGATGATCTACCTTCCAAAAATTAGCCAGTGAAAACCTTATGAATCACAACAAGACATCATGTTTGGTGAAGTTGAGGGCTAAGGAGGGGATGGGAGACCCTTGGTATGATAGATTGGCACACTAACTGCAACAATGGACTTGAACATGTCCATTGTCAGAATGATACAGGACCAGGCAACATTTTATTCTGTTCTCCAAAAAGTCACCATGTCTCAGTCTACTTGACAGCAGCTAACAACAACATTGAGCTGTTTTTTTTGTTGTTGCAGTTTATTTTTTTATGTCTATGAAGCACTATGTGCCAGACACTTAATTCTTCATAACAACCTTATTATGATAGTGGTATGGCATATCTTTTTTGAGATGAGGAAAATGAGTACAGAGAAGTTTAGTGACTCTTCTAAGGGTATACCTAGTAAATCATAGAGTTTGGTCCAAATAGTCTGGCTTCAGAACCCATGCTCTTAAGCACCCTGCTTTTGATTCCTCTTCTGATAGTTAACCGTAGGAAGGTTATTCAGAAAGTATTCTAAGCCTGGAGAGAGGATTTGGAAGCAGAAGTGAAGAAAGGGATGTTGCCCATGAAAGCAAAAGAGGTGTGAAAGGGGAAGGATAATACTACATGAGGTATAGTCATCGTGAGCCTGGAGATTTAGAGAAGAGTAAGGTCAAAAGAATAAAAACAACCATTAATCAGTATTTTAAAAGATGTGTTAAATTTTTATTCAAAACAGAAGCAGAAAAAAATTGCATTGATTTTAAAAAAAGGAAAAGGAAAAAACTCTTTAAGACCTAAGCAACCAGCATCATGTAATCAATATTCTTTTCTAGAAAGATGGATTTGAGGTTGTATTTTAAAATACTTTGTTATCTAAGAATAAGTTTTTCCTGCTTTTTCTCATCATTTAGTCTATTCAAAATTGGAAAACTAAAAAACAGCAAAAAAAGGAGGAAATTTTCAAGTTAAAGGAAAAAGCAGAGGATATGCCTGTGCTTTATCACAATAAACAAGAAAGTAATCAAAAGCAAAAAAAGGAAGAAAGGAAGAAACAGAAATTGGCAATTGAAGCTTGGAGAAAACAGAAAAGCATAGAAATGTCAATGAAAAATGCTTCTCAGTTAAAAGATGAGGAAGAGAGAGAAAAAAAACAGCAGAAAGAGCGTCAACGCCAATCTAAACTAAAATTGCTACTGGAAAATTATACCCAGCAGAAGAAAGAACAGGAAGAATTCTTGAGGCTTGAAAAGGAGATAAGAGAAAAGGCAGAAAAGGCAGAAAAAAGGAAAACTGCTGCTGATGAAATTTCCAGGTTTCAAGAAAGAGTGAGTAAATGTTTCCTAAATAATTTTTTTTTTTTTAAATTTTTATTGGGATTTGGGTGAAAGTTTACAGAGCAAATTCATTTTCCATACAGAGGTTCATACACATTTTGTCTCTTAACATTGACTGCAGTTCCCCGCAATGTAAGAGCTCTCTTTCCACTTCCCCCCTTCCTGGTTAGCAGCCAAGATCTTAACTCCTACTACCTCTTCCCTGTGTCCTTCCCTCCCATGCACTCTCTCTCCCTGAGCTGTCTCCCTGTGCAAACACTGCCCTTCTGTTCTCTCATGGTTGATCGCTCCAAAGAGTATATCTACCTGATGTAAATGTTCAGCCCATATACCTGTCTATTATTTGGCTGGAAACCACAGGCGTGAGTTCGATTCCAGACCTGAAGGACAGCTACTGGCCATAGTCTCAGGGATCTCACCAAGCTAGATCAGACCAGCAAACCTGGTCTTTTTTTAAGATTTTGAGTCTTGTTCCACTGTACCATGATTTTTTGTAATTGTATATTCTAACTATCAATACTAGAATCCTAGATGCACTGAGATGGTATAGGAACCATGCTATCTCAAGAAACATCCATAAATTTTAATTCATTTAATTCCACTATGCTTGGATAAAATAACTGGGGAGGCTGTTTGCCATGGAAGACCTTTCCCTTAAGTACTAGAAATTGCAACAGCAGAACAGTAACCACAGAGAGACTACTTTCATTGAGCACTCACTGTGTGCTAAGCATATGCATCATCTCCTTTAATGCTCACACCCACCCGTAAGGGAAATAATCATTTTACTTCCATTCTACAGATAAGGAAATTGAGGTTGAAACCCAAACCAAACTAGTTGCTGTGAAGTCAATTCTCATTTATATTGACCCGTTAGGACAGAGTAGAACTGTCCCCATAGGGTTTCCAAGGCTCTAAATCTTTACAGAAGCAGACTGCCCCATTTTTCTCCTGTAGAGCATCTGGTAAAGTTCAAACCACTGACCTTTAGGTTAGCAGCCAAGAGCTTAACTACTGCACCACCAGCACTCCTAATGGAGGTTTAGAGCAGTTAAATAATTTGCTGGAGGTCACCAAACTCCTTTGAGGTGAAGCCAGGATTTGAGCCCAGGGCTGCTGACTCTGCCCTCGTACTTGTAACTGCAATGTTGGGTTAGCTGGCAAAGGGCAGAAGTATGTATGC